GGAGATTCTGATTTGCCATGTGAATTCTCTAACTGTGAAACCACTTAGTCAGATCAGATGGGAGAGTTGCATTGATGCTTTGAAGACTCTTCGTTATGAACTTGGAAACATTTACGATGCCCTAATTGAAATTTCTGATGATACTACCTTTACTGGATCATCTGCAAAACGTTCAGATGCAGAAGCTCTTGCAAATGGCCTTTCCAAGTTCAAATTTATGACTTCACTTATTTTGTTGTATAATATCCTTTTTGAGATTAACCTCAGTAGTAAGCAGCTTCAGGAAAAGAACCTGAACATACATTCTGCTATCAAAAACTGCAGAAAACTAAAAATATTCTGGAGGAATTCAGAACTGATGAAGGGTTCGAAAGAACACTGGTAGATTCTCTCGAGCTTGCTGAAGAAATAGACTTTCCGACAGAATTTGAGGCAGAGCCCGTTCGCATTCGGCAAAAGAAACAGCAGTTTTCATATGAAGGACGAGACACACCCATTCAGAACCCAAAGCAAAGGTTCAAAGTGAATTTCTACTTCACAGTCCTTGATACTGCTATTCACTCGGTTGACGAAAGATTTCAACAGATGCAGCAGCTAGAGTCAGTATTTGGCTTTCTGTATGATATCCACAGCTTGCAAAAGAAAACAGAAAAACAGATAAGAGAATTTTCCATAAAACTGGAGTTGGCATTGACTCATGAAAATTCAAAAGACATTGATGCTACAGATTTGTGTAGTCAGCTTCAGGCTTTTCAAGACAACTTAAGAAACATTACACTCCTTTAGAAGTACTGAACTTTGTTTGTGAAAATAAACTCTCAGGCAGTTTTCCAAACACTTTAATAGCTCTATGCATTATTTTAAGTTTGCCAGTTTCCATAGCTAGTGGGGAACCTAGCTTCTCAAAGTTAAAATTGATCAAAACATACCTGCTTTCAACAATGCAAGAGAGACTTGTTGGACTTTCAACAATGACTACAGAGCATGAAATAGCTAGAAAACTGGATCTAAGGGTATGTCTACCTGCCAGATCGGCGGGTAGTGATCTATCGGGGGTCGATTTATCACGTCTAGTCTTGATGCGATAAATTGATCCCCGATTGCTCTTGGAAGTGGAGTCGACGGTGGAGCAGTGGCCGTCGACCCAACGCCATGAAGATGCCGTGGTAAGTCGATCGAGGTATTCACGTAGCTGAAGTTGCGTACCTTACATCGCCCCCCCCCCCCCAGTTTAGACCAAGGCGAAAAGAACTAGTGTCTGAATTTTCAAAACTTAAAAGCAAGAAAAGTCATGTTTTAAGAGCACAGAGTGTTTCTTATTCAGAGTGTTTTGTAAATACTGGTTAAAGTTCATTGATGAGTTTTCTTACTTCTTTCTATATTGGATGTGGTGGTAATGGCAGTTAAAGCAGGATAGTGTAATGGATGATCTCAGATTTCTAATAATAAATAATTATAATTAACATTTTTAATACATTTTTATTTGAAATCAGACTGAAATATCATCTAGCTGTCATGTACAAATCTATTCTGAAAATGTTGAGTCTCTATTTTATCTGATCTCAGAAACATTGGTTGGATAGAAGGACAGATGGACAAACCGAATAATTAAGCCTCTGTTTAAAAGAAAATGCTTAAAAAACGTTAAAAGGAAAAAAGGGGCAAAATGTTTCCCAGTTTACCAAAAACCTCAGCCTAGATCTGCTGTGGGCATTTGCGGGTGGGGGTGCTGATTGCATGGTTTGCCTAGGGCATCAGTTGCTGGCAGCTAGTCTAGGGCCGCCCCTACATCCTCATGTACAACAGGGGTAAAAGACAATGATGCCTGTCTAAGTTACATTTCCCTGGCAGAGCCTAGTTACAAGGGAAATATCCACGGGCAACCCCCTCCCTTCCCGAATACACACTGCTCCCAGCTTCCACTGGATTTTTTTTAAAAAGGGACAAACTCATGATCTTTGGGGCTCTGATTCTTGAGTGTTCAGGGCTATGCTAGGCCTTGGCCTGATTTCCAGGCAGGTTTTAGATCTCAGCCACACTGGAATCAGACCAGAGTCACTGCTGGCTCTGGCAAGGGGTGAGTGCGGATGGGCCAATGGGATTAGCCTCTGCCTGGTTGTCCCCAGGGGCTGCCGGGGGAGTCCAGGGCAGCTCATTCTTCAGGTGATGCCACCAGAGGGCTCTGGCTATTGCTAAGGGAGAGGGGTTTACACTGCAATGAGGGCCAATCCCTCAAAATGGCCCCTTTGATTCTGCTCTTTTTCTAGTATTTGGCTCAGAGATGCTGTTACTGGGAGGGTCTGAAGAGCCTGGGGGGAATCGGGGTGTGACACGGACTGAAGCCCCTTGTGTAACCTCCCCATCGCCCTTTTTACCCCGACAGGCTTAGGAATCACATCCACATTTCGCTCCAGATCGTCCCGTCTTCCAGGGGACAGGGAAGGGAAATGGCTGTGATGGAGCCAGCTCAGGTAGGGGATTTTCAGGGAGCTGCTGGGCGGGGGAAGGGAGAGGCGGGGAGGAGACAGGGTGTGAGAAACCTGCTGATTTTCTGAGTAGGCCCATTGTTGGTGGGGAGGGAGGGACCTTCGCCCATTTCAAAAACGGGACACAACCCCCCTGCACAGGGCTGGAGCCTGAACCAGCTAGCCAGAGGCTGCTGTGAAATACGAAGGGAAGCTCTTGGGATTCCTGTCCCCGGCTCAGAGCTCTGCTTCCGATATCAGACTGTGTCTGTCAGGGATGCCCTACTCCATGTGCTGGGGGGGACAGGGAGCTCTCACCTTCTCCCACCCCCTGAAGCCTCCTGGCTGCTTTGAGCAGGGTGGGGGTGGGATTCTGCTACTCTGGCCCTCCCACCGCTTCACTTTTTTTTTCTTCGTTTCCCATGACTAGTGGGATTGTGGCTGGGGCAGCAGGTGCTGAGTGGGGGTCTCTTGCTGTTTCAGGGGCCGGTGACCTTCGAGGACGTGGCCATTTATTTCACCCAGGGGCAGGGGGCTCTGCTGGACCCCGCTCAGAGAGCCCTCTACAGGGACGTCATGCAGGAGAACTACGAGATAGTGACCTCGCTGGGTAAGGGATTCCCATCCCCTTGGTTATTAGAAGCCATTGAGTTTGTATGTATGAATCTCGTCAGGTTCTTCCCTCATCAGTTAGATCAGAGGGGAATGTTTTGCATAATGAACAGTTGCTCTGTGCGAGAGACTTGCATCTCCTTGCCCTCTCCAGTGAGACGGGGTGTCAAAACTTAATGGACATGCTAGCTCATCCCCACCCCTCTAGCTTTCAAAGGGGCTGAATTCTTTCGTTGTCCTTTCTGTATTGATCCCATTCACACACACAATCCTTGTTTACCTCCCTTCTTGGGAATAGCTCCAGCTGTTGGGAAGGCTTAGAAGTATGCAGGGGTTTAACACCAGAGCTGTGTGCGTTAGCAAGGCCCCTACACTGCGCAGATCCTGGGAACACCTAGTGAGAGTATAAAAATTCCCCTCACCTCCCCAGACATCTGCCTCTCCCAAGGGGGCTCAGCGACCATGTTTCTGTCCTCTTGGGTTCCATGTTCCCCAGCAGAGCACAGGGACAGGTTCCGCTCACAGAATGTCCTTCGTGACAGACGCGCTCTCAATCCTCCACGCACCCTGATCTGGTCTGATTTTCCTTCCCCCCCCGCATAGGATTCTCCCTTCCCAAACCTGAGCTCATCTCCCGCCTGGAACGAGGGGAAGAGCCGTGGGTCCCGGATCTCCAGGCCTGCGAGGAAAGAGAGAGCCTGAGAGGGGCCCGCACAGGTGAGGACTGACACTGAAATCATCTGGGGAATGAAGAAAAAGTTGAGAATCGTAAAAATGTGGTGTGAGTAAGCACCCTCAGTTCTTCCTCATCTCGCCCAGGGCAGCGCTGTAGTCAGCAGATATTGCTCACGGCTTTCCACCTGTCCTGTTAGCTGCAGGAGTTTCCATTCTGTCTCTCCTTCCCTGTGAGTGTTTGTGTGGGATGTGGAGGCAAAATCCAATTGCTCAGTATTCGCAACTGTAGTGTGTCACGTTTTCCCTCGGTGCTATTCTTCTTTCTCCCCAGCACAATGACACCTGTCTGAATTGTCTCTCTTTCCTGGCAGGTGATGAGAGAGTGGGTGAAAACAAGGAGGAGAATGATCATGAGGAAGTTCCCGGGGAAGTGGAACCACAGGGGACCTCTGTGCGAAGAGCTGAAGGGAATTTTTCCCAGTGCTGGGAACAGGGAGAAGCCTGGGGAAATTGGCACAGGTCAGAGATGCTTCAGGGAAACCACCCAAGGAAGAAAGTGGATGAATCTATTAAATGTGGGGAAGGAGACAATAATCCCACAACCCAGCAGACAAATTCCAAGGAAGACAAACCCTATGAATGCCTCGGTTATGGGAAAGGATTCATTCTGAGATCACATCAGACAATCCATACTGGAGAGAAACCACTTCAATGCTTGGACTGTGGGGAAAGCTTCAATACTCGCTCAGCCCTGAATAACCATGGGAGAAGCCACAGAAGAGAGAAACCCTCTCAATGCCTCGAGTGCGGGAAATGTTTCATTTGGAAGTCAGAACTAATTAGACATCAGCTAAGCCACACAGGAGAGAGACCCCATAAGTGCTTGGACTGTGGGAAAAGTTTCAAACAGAGGTCAGACCTTTTTAATCATCAGGCAATCCACACAGGAGAGAGACCCCATAAGTGCTCCGACTGTGGGAAAAGTTTCAGTCGGAGGTCAGTCCTTGTTAATCATCAGAGAATCCACACAGGGGAGAGACCCCATAAGTGTGTGAACTGTGGGAAAAATTTCATACAGAGGTCAGACCTTATTCAACATCAGAGAATCCACACAGGAGAGAGACCTCACAAGTGCTTGGACTGTGGGAAAAGTTTCAGTCGGAGGTCAGCTCTTTTGAAACATCATGCATTCCACACAGGAGAGAGACCGCATAAGTGTTTAGTCTGTGGAAAAAGTTTCATATGGAGGTCAGACCTTGTTAAACATCAGGCATTCCACACAGGAGAGAGACGCCATAAATGTTTAGACTGTGGGAAAAAATTCATACGGAGGTCAGACCTTGTTAAACATCAGAGAATCCACACAGGAGAGAGACCCCATAAGTGCGAGGACTGTGGAAAATGTTTCATACAGAGGTCAGACCTTCTTAAACATCAGAGAATCCACACAGGAGAGAGACCCCACAAGTGTTTTGTCTGTGGGAAAGGTTTCATATGGAGGTCACACTTTGTTAAACATCAGAGAATCCACACAGGAGAGAGACCTCACAAGTGCTTAGACTGTGGGAAATGTTTCATACAGAGCTCAAACCTTGTTAGACATCAGGCAATCCACACTGGAGAGAGACCCCACAAGTGCTTGGACTGTGGGGAAATTTCACACATAGATCACACCTCATTAAACATGAGAGTATCCACACAGGATCTAAAGTTCTCTGACACAGGGACAGAAAGTGTTAAGGAAATTGCACGTCATTGACCTAGATTCAACCTTTAGAGACATATTAGAAAAGTGTGTCCTCGTTAGATAAACTAGAGCTTCGAAAGGTAAACGTGTATTGTTAAAGACATGGAAGAAAATGGTAACTGTAGTAGTCGTTGTTTAGCTATATCTTGTTAGAGGTTAACAATGGAAATACGGTTCCTGTCTAGGGCTATATTCTGTTAATTCAGAGATCAAAAGGAATTATAAAGGTTTAGTTGGTTGGTTGTAATAATGTCATTGTTTGTCTATGAACTGCTTTATTGAGCATCACTTTATGTTAAGCCATGAAATTAATTACCAGTGATGTTTAGGAAATAGAAGGTTACTTCAAAAGCCTCTTGTTCAGCCAAGGACTGTGTGCTGTCGAGACGCTGCAAAAATGATCCTTTCTTACCTGATCTGCCTAAGCTTTATTTTGGGGGGGAGTGTGAATCATAAGACTGAGATCTCCAGTCCCCTCTGGACTGCCCTGACATTGAAATTTGGACATTGGACTAGGACTGGATTAAATGATTCTATAAAGGACTTTTTGCAATTCTAAAGCATCAGTTGTACAGTGAAACTGACCTAAGGACTCTATGCGTGTCTGTGGGTATGTCTACACTACGAAATTAGGTCGATTTTATAGAAATCGATTTTTAGAAACCGATTTTATACAATCGATTTTGTATGTTCACACGAAGCGCATTAAGTCGGTGGAGTGTTTCCTCACTACTGTGACTAGCATCGACTTACAGAGCGGTGCACTGTGGGTAGCTATCCCACAGTTCCCGCAGTCTCTGCTGCCCATTGGAATTCTGGGTTAAGCTCCCAGTGCCTGATGGGGCAAAAACATTGTCACGGGTTTTGGGTACGTGTCGTCAGGCCCCCCTCCCTCCCTCAAAGCAACAGCAGAGAATCGTTTTGCGCCTTTTTTCCTGGGTTACCCGTGCAGACGCCATACCACAGCAAGCATGGAGCCCGCTCAGCTCACCGTATGTCACCACACAGCAGCAGCTCCTTGCCTTCGTGGCAGATGGTGTAGTAGGACTGATAGCTGTCGTAGGTCTCCTGGGTGCTCCTGGCAGACCTCGGTGAGGTAGATCAGGGACGCCTGGACAGACATGGCTATTCTCCTCTTAGAGCACCGAATGGGAGCCAGAGACTCCAGGTCATTCTCTTTAAGTTTTGTCTCATGGAGATTCAGTCCTGCCTGGAATATCATGTGAGCTGGAGGCTTCTGCCTCAGGCTGCTCTCCCAGCCTGCAGCACTGTGCGGTCACACTTGCCCCTTGCTCCCATGGCTCATGAAGCCTGGACAGTAGTAAGGAGCAGGCCAACTACAGGCTGAGCAAGTGGTGGAATGTGCCTTTGGACGTTTAAAAGCTCGCTGGTGCTCTTTGCTGACTGGGTCAGACTTCAGTGCAACCAACAGTCCCATTATTATTGTTGCTTGCTGTGTGCGTCATAATATCTGTGAGAGTAAGGAGGAGACGTTTATGGTGGGGTGGGAGGTTGAGGCAAATTGCCTGGTGTCTGATTTTGAGCAGCCAGACACCAGGGCGATTAGAAGAGCGCAGCAAGGCGCGCTGTGCATCAGAGAGGCTTTGAAAACCAGTTTCATGACTGGGCAGGCTATGGTGTGACAGTTGTGTGTGGTTCTCCTTGATGCAAACCCGCCCACTTTGTTGATTTTAATTCACTGTAAGCCAACCACCCTCCCCCCCGTGAAATAAAGTAACTATTGTTTTGAAACCAGGCATTCTTTCTTTATTAATTAATAAAAAATGAGATAACGGACAAGGTAGCCCGGGTGGGGTTGGGGAGGAGGGAAGGCCACAGTGCTTACTGCACCCACACTAAAAATCAAACTGTTTGAATGACAGCCTTCTGTTGCTTGGGCCATCCTCTGGAGTGGAGTGGCTGGGTGCCTGGAGCCTCCCCCACCGCATTCTTGGGCATCTGGGTAAGGACGCTATGGAACATGGGGAGGAGGATAGGCGATTATACAGTGGATGCAGCGGGGGTCTGTGCTCTTGTTGACTTTCCTGCAGCTCCAACAGACGCTTCACCATCTCCGTTTGCTCCCCCATTAGCCTCAGCATCGCATCCTGCCTCCGCTCTTCACGCTCACTTAATTCTTTCCTGGCCTGTGCCACTCAATGCCTCCATGCATTAAGCTGTGCCCTATCCATGCGGGAGGACTGCATGAGCTCAGAAAACATGTAATCACAAGTGCTTTTTTTTTGCCTTTTAATCTGCGATAACCCCAGGGACGGAGACGATAGGGGGAGCCGAGAAACATTCTACGCTTTACGATTCTGGGGGGACTGCATGGTCACCTGTGCTGCTGAGTTGGCCACGCTGACCAAACAGGACATGAAATTCCAAAGTTCCCAGGGCTTTTCCTGTGTACCTGGCTAGTGCATCGGAGTGCAAAGTGCTCTCCAGATCAGTCACAATGGAGCACTCTGGGATAGCTCCCGGAGGCCAATACCATAGATTTGCGTCCGCACTACCCCAAATTCGACCCAGCAAGGTCGATTTTAGCGCTACTCCCCTCGTCGGGGAGGAGTACATAAATTGATTTTAAGAGCCCTTTAGGTCCACGGAATGGGGTTGGCTGTGTGGATGCAGTCATTTTTAAATCGACCTAACGCGGCTAAATTTGACCTAACCCCATAGCGTAGACGAGGTTGGTCTTTTAACCAACATGCTCTCTCTTTTCTTCTTTTAATAAATCTTAGTTGAGTTAATAAGACTTGGCTGTAAGCGTGTATTTGGGTAAGAACTGAAGTATTTCTTAACTTGGTGCATAATGTATTGGCTCCTTTGGGATTGGTGGAACTTTTTAATATTATTAATAAGATTTTCAGTAATCCACATCATATTTCACTGGGCTGGGCTGGGCTGGGCTGCTTCAAGGGACCTGTGCTTTGGCCTCTGTGTAGCCCAGTAAGGTTTTGTAGAAGCTGTTTTGTTGCTGGCTTGGGGAATCAAAGTATTGGAATAGCCACCAGTTTTGAGGAGTGTCGGCCCCATTCTTTACAGTTTGCCCTAATGGAGCAATCTTGTTCAGTAAGTTCACACTTACTTCTTGTTCAGGCAATCACTTAGAGAAACAAGTTTGTTTACATTTATGGAAGATAATGCTGCCCTCTTCTTATTTACAATGTCACATGAAAGTGAGAACAGATGTTTACAACATGGTGAGCTGCAGGAGATCCCCCACCTCCAGAGGACTGGGGAGCTCTTGGGGATTTCTTCTCCTAGGCTGGGGAGCTGTGGGGGTTACCCTGCTGTCTGCAAGGGCTAGGGAGCACCAGGGTCCCCCACATCCTGGGGGACTGGAGAGCTCTGGGGCTCCCCCAAACTGGCAGCGACTGGGGAGGTGTGGGGGATGCCCCATCTGCTGGGGCTGGGGATCTGTGGGAATTCCTCCCAGGCTGGGGAGCTGCTGGGATTACCCTGACACCTGTGGTGGCTAGCGAGCTCCGTGGGTCCCTCTCATCCATGGGCCCTGGGGACTCTGGGAGATCCCATGAAGATGAGGGAGCTGCAGAATGCCCCTGTCTGCGACGGCTGGGGAGCCACAGGGCATTCCCCGAGGTCCAGGGGTCCCCCACACTTGCAGCTGAGGGGATTCCCCCCCACAAGCTGGGAGCTGCAGGGGTTTCCCAGGTGCCTGCAGTAGCTGGGAGCTCCCAGGGTCCCCCTAAATCATGGGGACTGCAGATCAGTGGGGTATCCCCTGAACTTGCGGGATCATGGGGGATATCCCATGGGGAGTGCAGAGCCACAGGGGGATCCCCAATGGCCATGGAGACTGGATTCCCCCACACAAGTGAGGAATAGGGAGCTTCAAAGGATTTCCACCTTGCACTGGGGGCGGATTCCCAAGGGCGATTCCCAACTCCCCGGCCTCTGGGGAGGCTTAGGGGGTATTCACCCCCATTCACAGGGCCTGGGGAAGGGGAGCCATTTCCTCCCTGCCCCCAGGGAAATTTTCCAACGCCCCCAACCCCTGGGGAGCTACTCGGGATTCCTCCCGCATCTGTGGGTCCTTGGGAACTCCAGAGGTCCCAGGCACGCATGGTGACTGGGGAACTGAGGGGTATTCCACAATGCCCACGGGTTGTGGGGAACCGCAGGGCATTCCCCAATGCCTGGGAAGAGTGGGAAGCCATGGGCCCACGAGGACTGGTGGTGGCTTGCGAGCTGCGGGGGTGTTTCCCCACCAGCTGAAGCGGTTGCAGAGCTGCAGGGGATTTTTCCCTGACACCATGGGCTGGAGAGCACCGGGGCATGACCCCATGGAGGCTGGGGAAATGCAGGGCATTCCCCGCCGCCATCAGCAGTGGCTGGAGTCAGAGCGATGGGAGAATCCCCTCACCCCCGAGGACTGGGGAGCCCTGAGTCACTCTCTTCCCAGGCTGGGGTGCCGCTGCAGATTCCTGCCTCGCCCACACAGGCTGGGCAGCTGGGGATTATTCACCCGTGCCTGGGGCAACTGAAGGTCCCACAGGGGAGGGTAGCCACAATGCATTCCCCCTGTCCACGCGGGCTAAGGAGCCACGATGGTTGAATGAAACTTTTCCCACAGGCAAGGCATTTCTGAAGTTGTGACCAGGGTCCCAGGGGGCCACAATGAGATTGCTCAATTAGGGCAAACTGCAAAGAATGGGGCCGACAATCCTCAAAACTGGTGGATATTCCAGTACTTAGATTCACCAAGCCAGAAACAAAACAGCTTCTACAATACCTTATTGACTGCACAGCTCCCTTAAAGCCTTGGACTCCCTCCCAGACAGCTCATTTCAATATGATGGGGATTACTGAAAATCTTCTTCATCATATTAAAAAGTTTCACCAATCCCAAAGGATTCAATACATTACCCACCAAGTTAAGGAATACTTCAGATCTCACCAAAATACACGCTTACAGCCAATTCTTATTAACTCAACTAAGATTTATTAAAAGAAGAAAAGAGAGAGCGTTGGTGAAAAGATCATTGTACATACAGCCACGCATAGAGTCCTTAGGTCAGTTTCACTGTAGGGATGATGCTTTAGAATTGCAAAGAGTCCTTTTCAGAATCATTTCATCAAGTTATAGTCCAATATCCAAATTTCAACGTCAGGGCGGTCCAGATGGGACTGGAGATCTCCGTCTTCCGACTCACACTCCCCACCAAATAAAGCTTAGGTAGATCAGAGAAGAAAGGATCATTTTTGCAGCATCTTGACAGCACACAGTCCTTGGCTAAACAAGAGGCTTTTGAAGTAACCTTCTATTTCCTAATCATCACTGGTAATTACATAGATTAACATCAGGTAATTCTCAATAAAGCAGTTCATAGACAGTTTATCACAAACTTTCAGAAGACAAACAATAACATTATAACAATCAAGTTTTATCTAAATGTTAATATTCCCTTTTGATCTTTGAATTCACAGAATACAGCCCTGGACAGGAACCGTTTATTACCATTGTTAACCTCTAATCAGATATGGCTAAACAACGACTACTACAGTTACCATCTTCTTCCATGTCTTTAACAATACACGTTTACCTTTCGAAGCTCTAGTTTATCTAACGAGGACTTTTCTAACATGTCTCTAAAGGTTGAATCTAGGTCAATGATGTGCAATTTCCTTAACACTTTCTGTTGCTGTGTCAGAGAACTTTAGATCCTGTGTGGAGTCTCTCATGATTAATGAGGTGTGATCTCTGTGTGAAATTTCCACACAGTCCAAGCACTGGTGGGGTCTTTCTCCTGTGTGGATTCTCTGACGTTTAACAAGGCGTGACCTCCATATGAAACCTTTTCCACAGACTAAACACTTGTGGGGTCTCTCTCCTGTGTGGATTATTTGATGTTTAAGAAGATCTGACCTCTGTATGAAACTTTTTCCACAGTCCACACACTTATGGGGTCTCTCTCCTGTGTGGATGGCCTGATGTTTAACAAGGTCTGACCTCCGTATGAATCTTTTTCCACAGTCTAAACATTTATGGTGTCTCTCTCCTATGTGGAATACCTGATGTTTAACAAGGTCTGACCTCCATACAAAACTTTTTCCACAGACTAAACACTTATGGGATCCCTCTCCTGTGTGTAATGCCTGATGTTTAAAAAGAGCTGACCTCCGTCTGAAACTTTTCCCACAGTCCAGGCACTTGTGAGGTCTCTCTCCTGTGTGGATTTTCTGATGTTGAATAAGGTCTGACCTCCGTATAAAACTTTTCCCACAGTCCAAGCACTTGTGAGGTCTCTCTCCTGTGTGGATTCTCTGATGATGAGTAAGGTCTGACCTCCGTATGAAACTTTTCCCACAGTCCAAGCACTTATGGGGTCTCTCTCCTGTGTGGATTGCCTGATGATTAAAAAGGTCTGACCTCTGTATGAAACTTTTCCCACAGTCGAAGCACTTATGGGGTCTCTCTCCTGTGTGGATTGCCTGATGTTTAAGAAGGTCTGACCTCTGTATGAAACTTTTCAGACAGTCAAAGCACTTATAGGGTCTCTCTCCTGTGTGACTTAACTGATGTCTAAGTAGTTCTGACTTCCAAATGAAACATTTTCCACACTTGAGACATTGAGAGGCTCTCTCTACTGTGTGGCTTCTCCCATGGTTAGTCAGGTTTGAGCGATTCTTGAAGCTTTCCCCACAGTCCAAGCATTGAAGGGGTTTCCCTCCATTATGGATTGTCTGATGTGTAAGAAGCTGTGATCTCGGAATGAATCCTTTCCCACACTGCAGGCAGTGACAGGGTTTCTCTTCCTTGGGATTTGTCTGCTGGGTTGTGGGATCCTTGTCTCCTCCCCCACATTTAATAGATTCATCCAGTTTTTTCCTTGGATGGTGTCCCTGAAGGTTCTCTGACCTGTGCCAATTTCCCCAGGCTTCTCCTTGTTCCCTGCACTGGGAAAAAATCCCTTCAGCTCTTCCCACAAAGGTCCCCTGTGGTTCCACTTCCCCAAGCACTTCCTGATGAGGATTCCCCTCCTCCTTCTCACTCACTCGCTCAGCACCTGCTGGGAGAGAGACAATCCAGACAGAAGTCATTGTGCTGGGGAGAAAGAGGAATAGCACCGAGGGAAAACCCGAAACAAACACTGAGTGATTGGATTCTGCCTCCACATCCCACCCAAACAGTCACAGGGAAGGAGAGGTGGGAAGGAAACTCCTGCAGATAACAGGACAGATGGAAAGCCGTGAGCAATTTCTGCTGACTACTGCGCTATCCTGGGTGAGATAAGGAAGAACTGAGGGCGTTACTCTCACCATATTTTTCAGATTTTCAACTTTTTCCTTCATTCCCCAGATGGTTTCTGTGTCAGTCCTCACCTGTGCGGGTGCCTCTCAGGCTCTCTCTTTCCTCGGAGACCTGGAGATCCGGGACCCATGGCTCTTCCCCTCTTTCCAGGTGGGAGATCAGCTCAGGTTTGGGAAGGGGGAATCCTGTGCAGGGGGCGGAAATCAGACCAGATCAGAGTGCATGGAGGATTGAGAGCACGTCTTGTCACAAAGAACATTATATCCCTGTGCCCTGCTGGGGAACGTGGAACCCAAGAGGACGGGAACATGGTTGCTGAACCCCCTTGGGAGAAGCAGACATCTGGAGAGGTGAGGGGAATTTTTACACCCTCACTAGGAGTTTCCAGGATCTGTGCCGTCTAGGTGCCTTGCTAATGCACACAGCTCTGGCGTTAAACCCCTGCCTATTTCTAAGCCTTCTCAAGAGCTGGAGTTATTCCCAAGAAGGGAGGTAAATAAGGATTGTGTGTGAATGGGAATCAATACAGAAAGGACAATGGATGATTTCTGCCTCTTTGAAAGCTGGAGGGATGGGGATGAGCTAACATGTCCATTAAGTTTTGACACCATGTCTCACTGGAGAGGGCACTGGGATGCAAGTCTCTCTCACACAGCAGCTGTACATTACGCAAAACATTCCCCTCTGATCTAACTGACGAGGGAAGAACCTGACCAGAATCATACATACAGACTCCACGGCTTCTAATAACCAAGGAGACGGGAATCCCTTACCCAGCGAGGTCACCGTCTTGTAGTTCTCCTGCATGACATCCCTGTAGAGGGCTCTCTGAGCGGGGTCCAGCAGAGCCCCCTGCCCCTGAGTGAAATAAACAGCCACCTCCTCGAAGGTCACCGGTCCCTGAAACAACAAGAGTCCCCCACTCAGCATCTGCTGCCTTAGCACAATGTCACTAGTCACAGGAAAGGGGGAAAAACTCGAAGCTCTGGGAGGCCAGAGTAGCAGAATCTGACCCCTATTGTTCAGAGCAGTCAGGAGGCTTCAGGGCATGGGAAGAAAGTGAGAGCTCCTTGTCCCCCAAGCACACGGAGCGGGGCAGGGTTTTCTCATTTCCCACATGCCTGCCAGCCACAGGCTGAGACGGGAAGCAGAGCTCTGAGCTGGGGACAGGGACAGGAATCCCGACAGCTTCCCTTCGTATTTCACAGCAGCCTCTGGCCAGTGGGTTCAGGCTCCAGCACTGTGCAGGGGGGTTGTGTCCTGTTTTCAGATATGGCGAATGTCCCTCTCCCCTTTGCTGCCAAGGGTCCTACTCAGAAAATCAGCAGGTTACTCACACCCTGTCTCCTCCCTGCCTCTCCCTCCCCCCATGCAGCAGCTCCCTGAAAATCCCCTACCTGAGCTGGCTCCATCACAGACATTTCCCTTCCCTGTCTCCTGGAAGACAGGCCGATCTGGAGAGAAATATGGATGTGATTCCTCAGCCTGTTGGGGTGAGAGGGGCGATGGGGGAGGTTACAGAAGGGGCTGGAGTCCATGTCGCACCCCGATTTCCCCCAGGCTCTTTAGACCCTCCCAGTAACAGTATCTCTGAGCCAAACGTTAAAAAAAGCAGAATCAAAGAGGCCACTCTTGGGGATTACCCCCCATTGCAGTGTAAACCTCTCTCCCTTAGCAATAGCCGGAGCCCTCTGTTGACAACACCTGAAGAATGAGCTGCCCTGGACTCCCCCGGCAGCCCCTGGGGACAACCAGGCAGAGGCTGATCCCATTGGCCCATCCGTACTCACCCCCTGCCAGAGCCAGCAGTGACTCTGGTCTGATACCGGTGTGGCTGAGATCTAAAACCTGCCTGGAAATCAGACCAAGACCTAGGGCAGCCCTGAGCACTCAAGAATCAGAGCCCCAAAGTTCATGAGTTTGTCTCTTTTAAAAAAAATCCAATGTAAGCTGGGAGCAGTGTGTGTGCGGGAAGGGAGGGGGTTGCCCGTGGATATTTCCCTTGTAACTAGGCTCTGCCAGGGAAATGTAACTTGGACAGACAGCATTGTCTGTTACCCCGTCATACATGGGGATGGTCATGTCGGTGTCTGTGAGTGTGATGCTCACAAAGGTGTGAGGCACAGTCTGGCAGGTGTAACAAAAATATACTAAGCTCACTTCACACATTGTCATGCTGTGTCTCAGCACAGGGCTGATCTTGCTCCAAAGCATCCAGAAGTAGGGAGGGGCGGTTACCAGACATGCTCTGAATTTGTTTCCAAAGCTGCATCGGATGTTTTCACTGGGCACATGACACCTGGCCCGGCCGCTCCCTCTTTATTCACCTGAGAGCTGAGGCAATCAGAGCGTGGACAGGAGACAGGTGTTTAGGGCAGTCACCGTCTCCATGCTCTGGAATGGCTCTGAATGAAGCCAGGCAGGACTCTGGTGTAGTGTGTCTCCCTCAGGGCACATTCTCACCAGGGCAAGAGACCAAAGGAGTCTTTATAGTTCACGCCCATGGGACAAGAGTGCGGCCATTTGGGCTATGTTCCTTACAAACGGGATCACTGAGCAGCCAGGCCAACACTGTCCGTACTCATAGCAGGATCTGCCATGACACTATCTGACCTTCACCCTCCTGCTCATGAAGCATGTCCTGTCCTTTGCAGGAGACAGCAGAGGAGCGAGATCACCTTACATTTCCACCTCAACCCATCTACTGAAATTCTGTCAGGCCAAAGCTGTGAAATATCGTAATGGCGTTTCTACACAAGGCAACACTCAGAAGATGAGATGAGCGCCCCACTGTTTCGCTCCTTCTCTTTGGACTTGAAACATCGCATGTGCATTACACCTGGACTATACAAAACTTAAAAATGTTCAAGAAGTGATCAAAGACCTGATGATTTGTAGTGTTTGGGGGAAAGTCTCTGTCTGGCTGTCCTGACTGCCAATGTCAAAATTAAGGCCACCTTACTTCTGACTGAGGGCATCCACACAGGGGTTTAAACCTCTGAAATTCATGTGGATTAACTTCACACCTTTAACAGCAGACCACGCAGACAAGCCCTGAAGAAGTAAATGGAAGGACATAAGAGAAAGTGGTGAGAGGGGCTGGAGGATATAGATATTCAGGCCTGTCTGTAAAGGCCTATACTCTAAGAATTTAGGTGTATTCTTATCACTTGGCGAGTTATAGAGGTATAAAAGAAAGAATCAAAATCACTGTCTGCCGGTGTAAGGGCCTTCTCTCACTGTGACAGTCTGAGGCCCTGTGCTTAGGCTAAGGCCTTTGGCTAAGCAGCAAAGGCAGCCATAAGCTGGGACGCGAACGGTCACATCCTCACACTCCAACCTAGTCACATTGAAATCAGGTGCTATTGGTGCAGAATACGATCCCGTCCTGATAATGGCCATCGCCTCCAGAGAAAGGGAAGTGCCTAGAAGATGCAAAAGGAAATTTAGTTTGACAGCATCCCGTCTGGCAAGAACTCCCTTATCAATAGCTGGGATGTGAAATCCTCATTTCTTTGTTGTTCTATCACTGTAGTCCCCATTTCCCTATTGTTTGTCTGCATAATCTCTGTCTGGTTCTGTGATTGTTCCTGTCTGCTGTATAATTAATTTTGCTGGGTGTAAACTAATTAAGGTGGTGGGATATAATTGGTTACATAATCATGTTACAATATGTTAGGATTGGTTCGTTAAATTTCAGTAAAATGATTGGTTAAGGTATAGCTAAGCAGAACTCAAGTTTTACTATATAGTCTGCAGTCAATCAGGAAGTGGGGTGTGTGTGTGGGGGGAATGGGAACAGGGAATGGGGGTGGGGAAATAGGAATCATGTTTTGCTAAGGGGGGAGAAATGGGAACAGGGACACAGGTAAGGCTCTGTGATGTCAGAGCTGGGAAGGGGGACACTAAGGAAGGAAACTGGAATCATGCTTGCTGGAAGTTCACCCCACTAAACATCGAATTGTTTGCACCTTTGGACTTTCGGTATTGTTGCTCTCTGCTCATGTGAGAAGGACCAGGGAAGTCGCAAAAACAGAGCAGAGGCAAAGTACCTTCGTTTCCCCAAAAGGTAAACAAGGTGAGGTCAGCACGGTGTCCCCTGACCTGACCAATGCAAAGGAGAAACAGAGCAATTCATTTTAAAAATTCTTTGACTTTGGCCGTACAAATCAGTACACGTGTCACAACGAAGAACATCCCTGAAATGGAACACAACAAAAAATGGAAAACATAAGGAATGAGAAGCATAAACAATGTGGTAGAAAAATCCACATCAATGCATACAATCAATGAAGTCATAGGAAAGTCAAGTGGGCACTTCAGAGTGTGCAGGATGGGGGGTTACTTACAGAAACAAGATTTCCAAATGAATTTTCAATTTTAAGTGGTGGTGGGGAATCACATGTTCCTGGGAGTGCAAAATGGCATTGAATGTTACAGGACTGTACAACCATTCTAGATATATGGATCCTTTGGAAGGGGTAGCAGTAAAACTATGAAGCTAGTACACCCCAAAGGCTCAGACACAAAAAGGTAATAAAAGAAAGACAAAATGTATGTATTTCTTTATTTAAATTGTAGACTTTTGGGTGCATAACTCACAGGGTTTGAATTTTTGGGGTTTCAGTCTATCTTGGGGATGTATATCTAACCTTAGTAAAAAAAAAAACAAAAAAAACCTCACAGAAATTTATTTTTGAGAAGCATTTTTATACAAGACACTCTAAGGCCCTTAGGAACGGATTTTTAAAATGATTTAGGCCACTAGTCGCATATTTCAAAATATCTAGCTGCCTTCAACCTTGAAACTTTTGTCTGTTAGCTAATATTTGGGAACTAAGTTCTAGACACAAATGGGACATGGGAAAAAACACTAGGGTGCTGGATAGAGAGACAAAATAACAATTGGCGAAAGCAAAGGAAATTGAAGGAGTTTTCAGACCAGCCCATGGAATCAGTCAGCAGTGAACTCAAATTACAACATTGCAACAGACCCTGAGATGTGAGTGCTGAAGCTCCTCGCAACTATTAATATTTCCCATGATTATTTGCCATTAAAAATATGAATTCCATGGCACAAAGACGTCCACCCGCACAACACTAATGAAGTTTAGGATGAAGAGCTCAGAGTAATACAAAGAATATTTTCAGAAGGAACTAATGTAAAGGAGTGAAATTGCCCAGACTGGATTCCAAGGGGAGTCAAACTCAGAGGGACAGGGACAGGGACTAGGACACATGGATGAAGCGCTGGGCGGCTTTACACAGACACAGAAACTGAGACGTGGATTCTTTAAACACTCGAAGCAGGTGTGACAGATCTGTGGGGGGGTGTCTGTAAATATTTCAATGGACCAAGTCTCCTTTGGCAGCTCAGTAAGATACAGGGGGGAGAGCGGCCCTGTCCAGGCTCTGCGAGGCACTGAGCCTTTAAGGACACGGCCCTGGGAGCGAAGATCCTTGGAAAGGGGGGGAGAAAAAGCCCCCCCAGGGGGGAACTTTTATCCCCTCGGTCCCCGATCCCTGTCCACCGCACGTGTCTCTGTCCCAGCCTCCTGCATGGCCCGGACTGGCTCCCCCGCCCCTCTGCAGCTGGCTCAGCCCATCTGGGGGAATTTTTATCCCCCCGCCCCCCACATTCCTGGGTTTCCCCCCGCCCCGCACACGCCGGGAGCTGGCGGCAGCTTTCCCGGGCCCGGGGCAGGGAATCGCAGCCGGCTCCGCGGGGAGCAGCCCGGGGCCAAACCCGCCCCCTGCAGCCCGGGGGTGCCGGGGGGGGGCGGGTCCCTCTTACCTTCCCCCCGAGCGGGGCCCCCCGGGGCAGGGGCCGGGCCGGGAAGGGGGCTGGGGGCTCTGCCCTGGGAGAGGCTCCCGGGGAGCAGCGGGCAGGGCCCGGCTGGAGGTTCCCCTCTCCCGGCTGCAGCCCGGGCTCCGGGCTCCCAGCACCAGCCGCCGGGGCGCGGGGATCTCGCCGGGAGCCAGAGTCCCCGCAGCGGCTGCGAGTCACTTCCTGCGGCCGGGCTGAGCCCCGCGATCGCTCCCCCCAGAGCCGCCCCCCAGCCGCTCCCGGGTCCTAGCGATCAACCCACCGCGCTAGGCTTCGCCTCTCTCTGTCCGGCTTGTTACAGGCGCAGGCTTTGAGGTCTTAAATCACTTCCTCGTTAGTATAGTGGTGAGTATCCCCGCCTGTCACGCGGGAGACCGGGGTTCGATTCCCCGACGGGGAGGAAAAAGTCCTTTTGATGGAACAAAGAAGCAATGGTCTCAAGTTGGAGTGGGGGCGGTTTAGGTTGGATATTAGCAAACACTATTTCACTGGGAGGGCGGCGAAGCACTGGAAGGAGTTCCCTAGGGAGGTGGTGGAATCTCTTTCCTTAGAGGTTTTTAAAGCCTGGCTTGGCAAAACCAATAAATATGCACTTAGCTAAGGGGTGGGGAGGAACTATTGTGGGGAGCTTTCCTGGCTTATACACACACACCCCCGTGGACTCTAATAGCAGAAGGATCTGAGTCCTCGCTCCCACTCCCTTCACCCAGATGCCCGCCTGACCTCAAGGACTAGTCCCCAAAACTCTGACGATGCTGGACCCAGGATTCCGGAGGGGACTTCACCCCCAATCTTGTTGCGATCACTGAGGACGGAGACTAGGGCGTCCCCACTCCGGGGTGCTCTCCTCGCTTTGGATGCTTCCCTGACCAGTGCATTGAGTTCAGAACAAATACAATTTATTAAACAGCAAGTAATAAAAAAAAATAAGGAAAAAATGGGAAAGGCGAAAGGAAAACACGTCACCCTGCTCTGTGAGCAGGGCCGGATTAACCCTCCTGTGGGCCGGGTCTATTAGATTTTATGGGGCCCTCTTGGCTGGGGGTATCTCCCTGCTCTAGGGTCTAGGCTCTAGGGTCCCCCCTCGCCCTCCCCAGCTGCTCACTGCACCCAGCTCCGGACTGCTCCAGCTTCCCTCTGGCTCAGCACTGCTGCTCTAGGCGCCAACTTCCACTCTGGCCGGTGGATGCTCGACCTCCCTCCTCCCCAACCCCTTGCCCCAAGCCCCCGCCCGCCTCTCCCATTCTCCCGCAGGCAGCTGCAGCTCACACCAAGGGTGGCACCCCAGGCCCCGACTCCCTCATTGGCTGCCTGCCCTGTCAATGGGGCTGACCTAGAGCCTTGGCCTCTCCTCATTGGCACTGGTGACTAGTCTCAGGTTCTTCATTTCTCATTGGCCCTTCCCCTGTTTTTTGGTACTGGGAGAGGGCCACTCAACCCCCCCCCCCCCCGCCCACTAAGTTTCAGTGCGGGGCCAACAGTCCCCTTACCCATAGACACATCAAAATCATTGTAATTTATTTATTGCTAGCTAGTAAGTCTGCTGCTGGGAAAAGTGATATTTGTATGTTTGTTAATATTTTTCACAGCCTCTCAGCTAGAGACTTGCGTTGCCAACCAGGTAATATTTAAAACCAGACACTACAGTAGGAGTGCTGGAACTTCTTCTGCCCCAACATTTCCCCACGAGCCCCTGCCCTGAGCCCCCGCCGCACCCTGCACCCCCCGTGCACCCCAACCCCCTGCCCTGAGCCCCTGCCTGCACCTCGCACCCTTACTGCACCCCAACCCACTGCCCTGAGCCCCTTGCTGCACCCCACACCCCTCCTGTACCCCAACCCCCTGTCCTGAGCTCCCTCCTGCAGTCTGCACCCCTCCTGCATCCCTGCCCTGAGCCTCCTCCTGCACATTGCACCCCTTCCCACAACCCGCACTCCCTCCCACACCCCCAACCCCCTGTGCTGGCCCTGCATACAATTTCCCCACCCTGATGTGACCCTCGGACCAAAAGGTTTGCCCACCCCTGAACTAGACTTTGGGTGTCCGGTCAGTAGATCTGATCAGACACTGTCAGGTTCCCTTTTTAACTGGACTTTCCAGTCGAAAACTGGGCACCTGGCCACCGTAACAGCACCCAATGTGCAATAAATGTTGGGAATGCATCGGGGACAACTTTGGCTTTCCAAAGTTGAGGGAAGTAACCAGGGGGCAGCCGGGTTAGACTCGGCTCTGACCAGCAGGGATGAATTCATTGGTCTAGATGAAATTACTATAAGGTGGGTGCACAACTGGTTGAAAGACTGTACTCCGAGACAGAGTAGTTATCAGTGGTCTGGTGTCAAACTGGGAGGGGACCGGTGGAGGAGGGGAGAAGCCCCATGTGGCTTCCCCTGCTCTTTACTGGGAACAGGGAGCATAGGCACCAACTTCCCTGCTTTCCCCTGGGTGCTTGAACCCCTGTCTGCACCTGGCCCTGCCCCCACTCCACCCCTTCCATGAGGCCCCACCCCTACGCCACCTCTTCCCACCCCTACCCTGTCTCCATTCCAACCCCTTCCCCAAAGTCCCCACCCTGGCCCTGCCTCTTCCCCGCCTCCTCCCCTGAGTGCACCATGTTCCCACTCCTCCCCACCCTCCCAGGGCATGCTAATGCCACCAAACAGCTGTTTGGCAGTGGTCGGGTGGGAAGCGCTGGAGGTAGGTGGAGGAGCAGGGACGCGGTGTGCTCAGGGCGGGAGGAGGAGGAGGAGGAGGTGGGGCAGGGGAGAGGGAAGCTTGGCTGCCAGTGGGTGCAGAGCACCCACTAATTTTTCCCTGGGGGTGCTCCAGCACCCAAGGAGTCGGCACCTATGAGAGGGAGTGTGTGTCGTGGGGGACAGAGAACATGGAGTGGGAGAGGGGCAGCCCACCCAGAGCTTGTGGGGAAGCCAGGCTCCTGGGAGGGAGCAACCACTGGGGCTGAGAGATCAGGCTCTCCGCTCCGCACATGGTGCCTTTTAGGTTGGTGGAAGTGCTCCTGGTGAGGTCAGGCCCCCGCACCCCAAGGAGGGTAGCGTGGACATCGCTTACTGCAGTAATTCCTGTGGTGGCTCAAAGTCAACCTAATAGAGCTCGACTTAGGTTTGGTATATAGATGTCCCCTTACAAGCAAAAGGATTTCTCTCACCCAAGAGCTTTCAGGAGTCCATGCTCACTGGAAAGCCTTCCAGCTCGGACCACTCCTCAATGATGCTCCTATTGTCTTTCAAGCGATCCTGCTTCACAAGTCACTTCCTGCTGCCCAGGCTGAGTCCAGCCAATGATCGCTCCCACAGCCACTCCTGGGTCCTAGCGATAAACCCATCGCATTGCAACCCTCTGTCCCAGACCCTGCCCCCTGGAGACCCACCACCCCTGGGCTCGGGGAGCTTCTTCCAGGATTAAGGGGACATCCCGCATAGAAACTTCTCCTGTCAGAATTCAGTCTTGTTTGCAGCCTCCCTGCAGGACAAACCTGGACTGCTGGCTGATCAGCTCCTCTGTGGCAAACTTCTCTCCCCATCGGGCTGGCTAAGGCCTTGCTCTAACCTGCCTCCCTGATCACAGGCTATCGGCACTGGTGCAAAACATCTGGGTGTCTCAGCTGGCTGGGCCAAATTTGTAGGGGAGAGAGAGAGAAGGTAAAAGGAGAGACAGTAGAAGGGGGAGGGAGGGCAGCATAATAGTTTAGACCAGTAGGAAGGAAACAGATGTGTGAGGGGAAGGCTGGCAGCAGAACCTCAAGTCTCACATCCCAGGGGGAGTTCAAGATTTAGCCTAAGACGAAGGAGTTGAGGATGTCGGCTTGTTCCCCTTCACTGGTTTTCCCTGCTTAGCTTGCCTTTCAGGATCAGGATGATGAAAGCCCAACGGTGCCATGCTGGTGGGTCCCAGGAGACAGCGGGTGTGAGACATACCCCAGGGTACAATCAGGACTGTTGAACTGCTGAATTCTGCATCCCAGGGCATGGTTTACACTGCTGCCCTGTGCAAACAACAAACCCCTCCACGCTCTGCTCACACACAGCCACCAGCATTCAAACTCACTCCTGGCTGCACTATACTGAGTGCGACTAGCCAGACACTCATGAAGTTACTAAACAACATAAAAAGAAAAGGAGTACTTGTGGCACCTTAGAGATTAACCAATTTATCTGAGCATAAGCTTTCATGAGCTACAGCTCACTTCATCAGATGCATACTGTGGAAAGTACATAAGATCTTTTTATACACACAAAGCATGAAAAAATACCTCCCTTCACCCCACTCTCCTGCCAGTAATAGCTTATCTAAAGTGATCACTCTCCTTACAATGTGTATGATAATCAAGGTGGGCCATTTCCAGCACAAATCCAGGGTTTAACAAGAACGATATTACAACAGAAAAACTTCAAATCCAGACTCCAGGGAGAGACTGCTGGATTGGAATTCATTTGCAAATTGGATACAATTAACTTAGGCTTGAATAGAGACTGGGAGTGGCTAAGTCATTATGCAAGGTAGCCTATTTCCCCTTGTGTCCCCCCCCCCCCCCCCGACGTTCTTGTTAAACCCTGGATTTGTGCTGGAAATGGCCCACCTTGATTATCGTACACATTGTAAGGAGAGTGATCACTTTAGATAAGCTATTACCAGCAGGAGAGCGGGGTGGGGGGAGGTATATTTTCATGCTTTGTGTGTATAAAAAGATCTTCTACACTTTCCACAGTATGCATCTGATGAAGTGAGCTGTAGCTCACGAAAGCTTATGCTCAGATAAATTGGTTAGTCTCTAAGGTGCCACAAGTCCTCCTTTTCTTTTTGCGAATACAGACTAACATGGCTGTTACTCTGAAACCTAAACAACATAGCAACATCAGCCAGTTTTCTACTCCCAGCCTTGCACCCCGGGAATGTGCATCTTGGATTGCTCAGTCTGTTCACTGTGCTGGACAAACTCAATAATTTGTGGGTCATCCCCACAAAGGGGCCTGATTATCCACAGCCTTGTTCTCTCAAGTCAAATCCCCCAAACACTTCAATGAAAACACACAGCTCCAGACAAAACACTAAAAGCAGTTTATTAACTTGAGCAAGGGGGATTTTCAGGGATTAAGGGAGAGAGATGTAAAAGATCACAACTAGTTAAAAAAATAACATTTAAAAATGCAT